TTTTTTCCCCTTTATTCTACTAATATATTACATTGATTCATTTCTATATATAAAACCAACCTTGCATTCCTGGTATAAATCCTACTTGATCTTGTTTGTGTAATCCTTTTTTATATGCTGCTGGATTTGGTTTGTGAAGATTTTGTTGAAGATTGTGTGACTTGCCCTGGCTGGTTTGGCTCAGCAGTTAGAGCGTTGGCCTGCGATCCAGAGAAACCCGGGTTCGGTTCCCGCTAAGGGCACGTACTTCGGTTGCAGTTTGTCCCCGGCCCTGGTTGGTCGTGCGGGTGGCAGCCACTCGATGTGTCCTTTCACGTCGATGTTTCTCTCTCTCTCTCTGTTCCTCTCTCTCCCTCCCACTCTATCTGTATAAAAAATGGAAAAATATCCTCGGGTGAGGATAAAAAAAAAAAAAAGATTGTGTGACTTTCTTCAGAAGGGATATTGGCCTTTAGTTTTATTTTCTTGTGATGTCTTTGGTTTGGGTATCAGAGTAGTACTGGCCGCATAGAATCAACTAGGAACTGTTCCCTCCTCTTCTAACTTTTTGGAAGTTTAGGATGGATTGATAGCAGTTCTTTTTTCCTCATTGGTATAATTCATCAGTGAAGTCATCTGGTACTGGGCTTTTCTTTGTTGGACGTCTGATAATTAACTCAATCTCTATACTGTTCGGATGTTCTAGTTTTTCTTGAGTCAGTTTCGGTTGTTTGCATTTTCCTAGAAATTTTTTCATTTCATTTGGGTTATTAAATTCAATGGCATACCATTGGTCATAGTATTCCCTCATAATCCTTTTTCCTTCCATAAGATCAGGAGCAATGTCCCCTTTCCTTCCTGATTTTAGTAATTTGAGTCTTCTCTCTTTTCCAGAGTCAGTCCAGCTAAAGATTTGTCAATAATGTTGATTTTTAAAAAAAAAAACACAACTTCTCATTTTACATAGTTTTTCTTTTCTTTTTTTTTATCACGGTAATCTTTACTATTTCCTTCCTTCTGCTAGCTCTGGGTTTGGTGTGCTCTTCTTTTTCTAGTTTCTTAAGGTGGAAGTTTAGGTTATTAATTTTGAGTTTTTTCTTTAAATGTTTTTTCCCGTTATTGATTTTAGAAAGAGAGGGAGAGATAGAGATAGAAACACTGATGAGAGAGAACATCAATTGACTGCCTCCTGCAGGCTCCCCACTGGGGATCGGGCCCACAACCTGAGCATGTGTCCTGATCAGGAATTGAACCAGCAACCTCTTGGTGCATGGGCTGATGCTCAACCACTGCGCCACACCAGCCGGTCAAGTTCTTCTTTTTTTTTTGGTATGTGCCCCTAGCAGGAACCGAACCCAGAAGTCTCTGGTCCACAGGCTGACGCTCCAACTCCTGAGCCAAACCGACCAGGGCGAGTTCTTCTTTTTTGATGTAGGTGTTTAGTACTCTAAATTTCCCTCCAACTATTGCTTTCCCTAATCCCATAAGTTTTGGGTTATTGTGTGCTCATTTTCCGGCATCCCAAAGCATTTTTATCATTCCTCTTGTGATTTCTTCTTCTACTCATTGGCTGTTTGTAAGTGTATTGATTACTTTCCATATATTTATGAGTTTCCCAATTTAATTCTGCTATGAGTTCTAAGTTCATTCTACTGAGGTTATCAAGGTCAAAACACTTACTTTGTGTGACCTCAATTCTTTTAAAATTTATTGTAACTTTTTGGGAGAACCTTTCATGTGCACTTGAGTAGAATATTCTGCTGTTGTTATGTGGAGTGGTCTACAGATGTCCATTAGGGCTTGTTGATTTAGTGCTCAAATGTCCTCTCTTTGTTGATCTTCTGTCTAGTTGTTGTTACGGAGAGTGAGGTAATGAAGTCAGCAATTACTGTTGAATTATCAGTTTCTCCCTTCAATTCTGATAGTGTTTGCTTCATGTGTTTTGAAGTCCTGTTAGGTGAATATATATTTATAATTGTTATATCTTCTCAGTGGCCCGACTCTTACCGTTTTTGAGGGTTTTTTTCATTGGTTTTATGAAGGGGTAGAATTTTGAGGGTTTTGTCTCCACCATTTTGCTGCCACCTTAATACAATTTTTAAATTTAATTTTTCCATCACCATTTATCCCTCTGTGCCCTCTTCCACCTCCACCTACCACCCCCTGCAATCACCACACTGTTGTCCATGTCCATGAATTCATTCTTTTTTCCTTTTTCTTTTTTATCCTCACCCAAGGACATTTTTCCATTTTTTGTTCAGATAGAGTGGGAGAGAGAGCGAGGAAGAGAGAGAGAGAGAGAGAAACATTGATGTGAAAGGGACACATCGAGTGGCTGCCACCCACACGACCTGGACCTGGACAAACTGCAACCGAGGTACATACCCTTAGCGGGAACCGAACCCGGGTCTCTCGGGACTGCAGGCCGACACTCTAACCGCTGAGCCAAACTGGCCAGGGCCGCTCTTTTTTTCCTTTTTTGCTCAATCCCTCCACCTCCCCCACAACACTTCCCACCCCCACCCCCCACCAGAGCTATCTGCCTGCTTTCTATCTTTGAGTCTGTCTCTGTTTTGTGTGGCAGTTTAGCTTATTCATTAAATTCCACATATAAGTGAAATTATATGGTTCTTGTCTTTCTCTGAATGGCTTATTTCACTTAGCATAATGTTCTCCAGGTCCAACCATGCTGTTGCAAAGGGTCAAATTTTCTTCCTCTTTACAGCAGAGAGTATTCCATTGTGTAAATGTATCACAGCTTTTTTATCCACTCATCTACTGAGGGACACCTGGACTGCTTCCAAATCTTGGCTATTGTAAATAATACTACAAGGAGCACAGGGGTGCATGTATTCTAATACAATATTTCTTATCACACTTGTTCTCCACAACAGTCATGCAAAAAATGTGATGCTGTCCCCAGTTTACAATAGAGGAAATTTGTTCTCTTGTTTCTCTTTGTGTATCAGTTCAGTAGCTATGAAAAAAAAAACCAAAATTACCTGTTTAAGTAGGATAGACTGTTTCTCACCTAAAAGCCTAACAAGAATAGCAGGCCTGATCCTCAAATGCAGTAGGTTACACCCTGGCTGGTATGACTCAGTGGTTAGAGTGTCCGCCTGAGCACCATAGGGTCACAGTTTCGATTCCCAGTCAAGGGCGTGCACGTTACCTGGGTTGTGAATTTGATCCCCAGCCCCAGTCAGGGTGCATGCAGGAGGCCACCAATTGATGTGTCTCTCTCACATCAATGTTTCTCTCTCTTTCTTCCCCCTCCCTCCCTTCCTCTCTTCCACTCCCTAAAAACTCAATGGAAAAAATATCCTTGAGTGAAGGTTAAAAAATAAAAATAAATAAAAAACAAATGCAGTATGTTACAGGCTCTTGTGTTCTGGTGGCTCAGCTATTAGGTCACAAGTCTATAACCAAAAGACACAGAACAGCATAGCTTCAACAAAATAGAACATGTTGCCCTGGCCGGTTTGGCTCAGCGGTTAGAGCATCGGCCTGCGGTCCTGAGAGACCCGGGTTCGGTTCCAGCTAAGGGCATGTGCCTCGGTTGCAGTTTGTCCCCGGCCCTGGTCAGTCGTGCGGGTGGCAGCCACTCGATGTGTTCCTTTCACATCGATGTTTCTCTCTCTCTCTCTCTCTCTGTTCCTCTCTCCCCCCCAACTCTATCTGAACAAAAAATGGAAACATGTCCTCGGGTGAGGATAAAAAAAAAAAAAATAGAACATGTTACCTCTTGTGTGTAAGTCTTCACAGGTGGATGGAGTCGAGGATGGCGGTCCCACAGTGTTGGGATTCAGGCTTCTTCTGTCTTCCATCTCACGGTCCAGGATGGCGGCTCCAGCTTTAGCCATCAACTCTGCATTCCCACCAGTTATCCCTTATTAAAGACCCTGAAAATGTCTTAATTATTCCCACTCACATTCCGTTGGCCAGAACTCAGTCACATGACCAAACCTTGCTGCAAGAATGCCTGGGAAATGTAGTCTTTGGCTGGAAAGTCACGTGCTAGGCTAACGCTTCTGTAAATGTGGAAGAGCTGAGAGTAGACCCAGCCTCCGGCATCCCTCCTGAGCCAGCTTGGCAGGAATCACAAAGCACTGTATGGGGATAAAATGTAGTTGGTGATCAAAGCCACGTGGGAATGCCCTTGTACACCCAGGTACACAGCACATGAGGTGGCCTTGTCAGATTTTAAACCCAGAGCTCAGGCCACCTCAGGTTCTATGTACCTGGGAGTACAAGGGACATCCCCTCTCTGAGCCTCATTTGCCTCACTTGCAGAATGGGCCAAGTAACCCCAAGAGGTGTGGTTGTGGGGAATAAAAGAGAACATGTGTGTCAGTCCTCGGCCTGGAGCACAGTGAGTGCTTGTGTCTAGAAAATGGGTTACGCCCTGGCCGGTTTGGCTCAGCAGATGGAACATCAGCCTGTGGACCAGAGAGTCCCGGGTTCAGTTCCCGCTAAGGGCACAAACAGGAAGGAAGGACAGAAGGACGGAAGGACGGAAGGAAAGAAGGGAGGAAGGGAGGAAGGGAGGAAGGGAGGAAGGGAGGAAGGGAGGAAGGGAGGAAGGGAGGAAGGGAGGAAGGAAGGAAGGAAGGAAGGAAGGAAGGAAGGGAAGGAAGGAAGTTATCTTTAGAATTCTCCAGTGCCTGGAGAGAAAGTCAGAGCATGTATCTTAACAATTTGTCTTATTTATGTCTGTGGATCCCGAAGGCTTTTATCTCAGTGTTTGGTTGAGACCATCTTCCCTCCCCCACGTGTCTGAGTGTTCCCCCTGCCCCCACTCATATTTCTTCCCATCCACCAAGCAGAAACAAGTCCACCCCTGGTTTTCAGCACAGAAATACCAAGAATCAAAGAGGCATAGCCTTGGCTCAAAGTCACACAGCTACTCCACGGCAGAACCAAGGTGTAAACCAAGCCTGCTCCCAGTTCTAGACTTTTTCTTGGGGTTATGGTTTTGTTCCCACACACCTATGACCCACCTGTCTCCCATTCTTCCCCAGAGTGGGGTCAACAGTGGATTGGTTCGCGCCAAAGACTCCATTACCAGCTTGAAGGAAAAGACAACCCGGGTGAATCAGCATGTGCAGACACTGCAGGTGTGCGGACCACGCTCCCCCCAAGCACCTCCTCTTCCTCTAGGGCCAGGCTGCTCTCTTAGGCCCCTCCCACCAACTCAGTGCACCCATAGCCCAGTTGGGGAGGTAGAGGCTCAGAAAGGAAAGGGACCTTCCCAGGCCTAGCCTCTCCCCACCATGGGGTGTCCCCTTGCGGCCTTAGCTAACCCCTCCTCCCTTCCATGCTCCAGAGTGAGTGTTCTGTGCTGAGTGAGAATCTAGAGAGAAGGCGGCAAGAGGCGGAAGAACTGGAAGGATACTGCAGTCAACTCAAGGTGAGCCACTGGGGGGCAGGAGTGGGGTGGGGAGAAGGGAGTAGACTTAGGAAGAGGGTGGGAGGAAAACCGGGAAGGAACGGAGTGGGTGAACATGAGAGGGTGGAGGAGTAACACAGGAGAGGTTGAAGGAGAAAGCCAAGGGAACCAGACGCCCAAGAGGCAGACCAATATGCAGAAGGCAGGTGCTGGGGTTGGGGGGTGCCTTGTCCTAGGGGTTGGAGCCTGTATGAAAAGAGAGGGTAAGGGCTAGGAGGCAGAACTGGAATGGGAAGGCAGGGCCCCTGCCCTGGTGTCCTGACCCAGGAGAACTGCCGGAAGGTGACCCGGTCGGTGGAAGATGCTGAAATAAAAACCAACGTCCTGAAGCAGAACTCTGCCCTGCTGGAGGTAAGGGAAGAGGATTAGATGCAAAAGGAACTTGGTTAGACATCAGGTGGAACTTTGCCACCCTGCCCTTTCATGTTCATGGTCATACTTCTCTATGCACAGTAATATTCAGCTCCCAGAGAGGGACTTGTGTTGGACTTCAAGTGGGAATGTCTTTGGTGCCCGTATGCCCATATATTTCCCACCAAAATGTTTGAAAAGTTTCTACTGTTCTTCCTAAACAGAACTGGAATTGACACCTTGGAGGATTGGAGTTGGGAACAGAGGGCTGGATAGAGACAGGGAGGCAGGCATTAGGATGTTAAAGTAGTTGGACTTCAAATGGGAGAAATATACTCAGTAACAAGTGGGAGTCCATTTAGAATCCAAGCTGGACTTCCCAATATCCTGTCCCCACATCCATTTATTTTCCAATCTCGGGGATTCATTGGGAGATTTGGGGCTGGAGGTGGTTGTGGGAGGCAAGGGGCTACACGGAGTAACCCTGCCCTCCTTCCCGGCCCAGGAGAAGCTACGCTACCTCCAGCAGCATCTGCAGGATGAGACACCTCGGAGGCAGGAAGCCCAGCTGCAGGAGCTGGAACAGAAGCTGGAGGCCGGTCTCTCCCGGCAGGGCCTGAACCTTGCAGCCCAGCCCCTGGGCAGCTCTGGCTCTCCGGGGAGCCCTGAGGACCCACCACGACCCCGCAGCCTGGTGCCGGGCAGCTGGGGAATGGGGCCCCGGGCAGGGGAAGGCCTCGGCATGAGCGAGCAGGAGGTGCAGAAGGTGTCCACCGGCCTTGAGGAGCTGAGGTGCGTGAGGGGTGAGGGGACTAGAAGATGGGGGGGGGGGCGGGAAGATATTAGGGGGCAGGGCCTAGGGGGTGGAGCCTTGAAAAACCCCGGAGGGAGTGTTCTGGGGGCGGTGATCTAGAAGAACAAAACTTCGAAGAACTTAGTTTTGAGTACGGGGCTGTCGGGAGGGAGGTCCACGCTGGGTAAAACTGAGGTGAGCGGGGGTTTTTTGGAGGGGGCAGGCCCTTGGAGGCTCCAAGTTCAAGGGGCAGGCTTGGTGTGATCTGTGCCTCGAGGAGACAGTGCCTGGAGGAGCTGATGTGGGGCTGCAGGGCAGGATGAGGGGAGAGGGCCGATTCCTGATGAGACAGAGGCAGGGTTCTAGAAGACATTGGGGGATACCAAGAAATGGGCAGGACCGGAGAATTTGGGAACGGGGTGGGTCTGGAGCTAAGCACGTGGTCTTGGCAGGGCGGGACAGATGGGGGTGAATTCAAACCCAGCCCTTACCTCTGCCCCTCCAGGAGGGAGGTGTCCTCATTGACCGCCCGGTGGCATCAGGAGGAGGGGGCGGTGCAGGAGGCCCTGCGGCTGCTTGGGGGCCTCGGAGGTAGGCTCGACGGCTTCCTGGGCCAGTGGGAGCGGGCGCAGCGTGAGCAGGCGCAGACCGCGCGGGGCCTGCAGGAACTGCGGGGCCGGACCGACGAGCTGTGCACCATGTAAGAGCCAAGGCGCGGGGTGGGACTAAGGAAGGGCGGGGCCTTGAGGGAAAAGGGTGGACCAATCAGCTGGGACCAAGAGGGCCAGACCGGATACTGACATGTGGAAGCCCCTATTAGAGAGTGGGAAGGGTCTTGCCGTACCTAATAAGGACTGAGGGGCGGAGTCAATTAGAAAAGGACAAAGGGAGGAGCCAAGGAAGAATAGGGAAAGCCAATTAGAGAACAAGGAAGGACTTTCCAAAGCTCAGTATTTTTGCACTGGCCGGTTTGGGTCAGCAGTTAGAGCGTAGGCCCCACGGACCAAGGAGTCACTGGTGCGATTCAGGTCAAGGGCATGTATCTCAGTTGCGGTTGGTCCCCCTCCCCGAGGCAATCAGTGGAGCTGGACACATCGATGTTTCTCTCTCTCCCCCTCCCTTGCACTCTATCTGAACAAAAACATAGTAAAATATCCTCCAATGAGGGTAAAAAGAAAAAAAAGAAGGAGCCAGAGACTGGCCGGTGTGGCTCAGTGGTTGAGCTTGCACCCCATGCACCAAGAGGTCACTGGTTCGATTCCCGGTCAGGACAAACATTTTTAAAATTGATTTTTTAGAGAGAGAGGAAGGGAAGGGGAAGAGAGAGAGAGAAACATCAGTGCAAGAGCGAAACATCAGCTGCCTCCTGCATGACCCCTACCAGGGATCAAGCCTGAAACCCGAGCATGTGCATAGGACAATGCCCAACCAACTGAGCCACGCCAGTCAGGGTAGTTTGGAGACATATCCCCAATGGGGGCCAGGAGGCAGCCAATCCATGTTCTCTCTCATTGATGTTTCCATTTCTCTCCCTCTTCCTCTCTCTCTAAAATGACGGGGAAAATTTTCAAAAAGGTGGGGGGAGGGCAGTATTGCAGACCTGCTGGTCATGGACACAACCTTGCGACCTCGCCGCCCTGATTATTCTTACCCTTCAGGGTGGAGCGGTCAGCAGTATCTGTGGCTTCACTGAGGAGCGAACTGGAGGGGCTGGGTCCTGTGAAACCCATTCTGGAGGAGCTGGGGCGGCAACTGCAGAACTCTCGAAGAGGGTCTGACCTCACCATGAACCTGGATCGGGTCCCCCAAGGAGGCTCCTGTACCCGCTGTGCCAGGTAAGGGGCCCAGGCCTGGGTCTGAGTACATTCAATGAACACAAAGTATTGAAGGAGATGGGGCATTAGCAAGCGTGGCAGGGAGGGTGTTGCACTGTGGGAGACAGGGCATCTTTATGCATGCTTTGTAGGACCAGCCAGACCGGCCCCACATTTCTTCCCTCCTCAGAAGTGGAGTGAGTGTCTTGTGGAACACAAGAAAGTCTTGATATAGTTCAAGCATCCTGGATTCTAGTGCATGGTGGGAAGGTTGGGATGTAGTACTTGGTGGGAGGCTGGGTTTTTCAGTGCACTATAGAGAAAAGAGACCTTGGTGTATCGGAGAGCCAAGGGATACCAAGCTCGGTTTATATTGGGAAAGGAGAGGACTTCAGTACGATGTGGGATCAGATTTAAACAGTCCGTTGTGGGCAGTATGAGTCTTTGATTAACTGAGGGCTGTCTGGTGCCCTTTGGGAATGTGATTCTCCAGGCATTGTGGGAATTCCCCCGCTGTGGAAACCAAAGGGTATCTCATGCACTGTGGGTTGGCCCCAGTGCATGGTGGTCAGGTTGCATGGGTGCACAGTGGGAAGGGGACCTAGTGGAGGCTGGGCAGGTAGGCACCCTGGGAATGGAGTTAGTACTAGACCTCTTTACCTGGTGACCACCCTTCCCCAGCCAGGGGCAGCAGTTGTCCACAGAGTCCCTGCAGCAGCTGCTGGAGCGTGCACTGACCCCGCTGGTGGACGAGGTGAAGCAGAGGGGCCTGGCTCCTGCTTGCCCCAGCTGCCAGAGGCTACACAAGAAGATTCTGGTACCAGGGACCACGGGCCACCATGCCCTACTTTTCTGTCAGGGGAGGGGGAGGGGAGCCCCAGGCACAAGGTACTGCTGGTATGTGGCAGGATGGGAAGAGCTGAGCTGTGCGCAGAAGGTGTTGGAGGAACATTGGGTTTTAGTGATTGGTGTCAGGGGAGGGGCAAGCAGTTTGGAACCTTGAATTTGCCATTTGAACAGAATGTCAATTTGCAAACATTTTTAAAATTGATTTTTTAGAGAGAGAGGAAGGGAAGGGGAAGAGAGAGAAACATCAATGCAAGAGCGAAACATCAGCTGCCTCCTGCATGACCCCTACCGGGGATCGAGCCTGAAACCCGAGCATGTGCATAGGACGATGCCCAACCAACTGAGCCACGCCAGTCAGGGCAGTTTGGGGACATTTGAAAAACTAGCACAGGTTCCGTTGGTCAATCATTATGGAAGCTTGGGTGACAGACATTGCCTAAAGCATGGTGGGACACTGGATATATGGGACATGGTGGGACAAAAGGACAGACATGTCTACAGCTTCATGGAATACAAACCTGATTTTCTGTAGACCTTAAGAGAGGCCACACATTATACGGGGTCATTGAGGATGACAGGATCCAGTGAATGTAAATCACAGTAAGCTAGTGCATTTTGGGAAATGGAACCACAGCTCTTCATAGGCCGTTGCACCAAAGACTCAAGCCCAACAGCTAATGAAATGAGGCCTGTGTACATTCTTTTTCTTTTTTTTTTTTTTTTATTGATTTGAGAGAGAGAAACACTAGTTTGTTGTTCCACTTATTTATACATTTATTGTTAGCTGATTGTACGTGCCCTGACCAGGGATCGAACCTGCAACCTTGGTGTAGTAAGACGATGCTCAAACCAACTGAGCTGCCCGGCCAGGGCCAGACCGATGTACATTCTGAAACAGAGAGAGCTAATGTATGATGGGATATGGCCTAATGGTGGATATAAGTTGTAGTGGGTGAGAGAGACAAGTGAGGCGGTATGGGACATTGATGTGGCAGAGCTATGGGACTAAGACATGATAGGACAAGGGGTCTAGTGCATTCTGGGATATAGGGAACCAGAGAACTCAAGACTACTATTGTGACAGAGATACTGGTCTGTAGATAAGAAGATGTGAGGTCTTATGAATTATGAGATGCAGAAGGTCATCACGTGATGGGGTACTGGGGCCCAGATACACATCCAAAGCATGATGGTTCGTGGGCATCTGGGGAAAACATGACAGATGCTGATTTAGTGCTTGGTGGGACATAGAAGGCCAGGGCATTATGGGACCGGCAGTGGAACACACAGGTTCAGCACACAATGGGATTTGGAAGGCCAGTGCATTGTGGGTTGCTGGGGTCAGCTGGAGGCAGGACAGGATACTTTGAGGGAGGAATGTGGGCCCCATGGGACCCTGCCCCTTGCCCTCCGCGATCCAGCTCCCCCTCCACCCCCAGCCCAGTCAGGCAAGCCCAGCGGCGCCTACACTCCTCTCCCCAGGAGCTGGAGCGCCAGGCCTTGGCCAAACACGTCAGGGCAGAGGCCCTGAGCTCCACCCTTCGGCTGGCCCAAGACGAAGCCATGCGGGCCAAGAACCTGCTGCTGACGGACAAGATGAAGCCGGAGTGAGGAAGGAGGCTGAGGGCATGGGAGGAGGGTGAGGTCTTACGGATAGAGCCTGAGTCACCCCCTCCACCAGCCCCGTGGCATCTGGCCCCACCGGCACCAACTGCCCGCTCTCTGTCATTACAGGGAGAAGGTGGCCTCTCTGGACTATCTACACTTGAAGATGTGCTCCCTCCACGATCAACTCAGCAACCTGCCACTTGAGGGGTCCACAGGGACAATGGGAGGAGGAAGTGGTGGGGGAACTCCCCCGAAACGTGGGGGCCCAACCCCTGAACAATAAATGGCTCCTCATGCTGGCATGAATTCTGTCTCCTTTTTTGGCACCAAAAAATGGCTAGTAATTTGGATGCACACCGGGCACCCGCCTCGGCTCACTGGGACTTAGTCCTCCGCCAACAGGAGGTCTTGATTCCAGAGATGCTGCTGATGGTCCACTTCTTTGAAAATAAGGTTCTGTGGTGCAGCTCGGGCCAGTCAACCAAGATTTTTAGGATTCTTTTTACGAAATAATCATCTATTGCTGTGTAAAATATTATCCCCCAAACTTAGCTGCTTCAAACAATATTATATTATCATTTCTGAAGGTTAGGAACTTGGGAGTGGCCTAGCTGAATGGTCTGGTTCAGGGGCCTCGTGAGTTCGCAGGATGCCGGCTGGGCCTGCAGGCACCTGGCAGCTGCGCTGGGGCTGGGAGTTGTATTTCCAAGAAGGCTCACTGGCCTGGCTGTTGGCTGGAGGCCTCAGCTTCCCAGGCAGCTCACTTCTCCCAGAGCCAGCAGTCTGACAGAACAAGTGCCTGTGATGCCTAGTCTCTCAAATTGCACACTCATTTCCCCTTTTTACATTCCTTAGAATTGAGTCCAAATCTTACTCAAGGGGTGTGTCAGAGAATTTGCAGACATATTTTAAAGAGAATGTCCATTTGTGCACATATTTTAAACCACCACGGTAATGCTATTTTAAGTTTTTAACTGAAGTATAATATAAACAGAAAAGTTCACAAATTAAAAGCTCCATGAAATGGCCATGTTCATGTAACCACCACCAAGATTTAAAAATTCAGTTTATAACCCGGCCGGTGTGGCTCAGTGGTTGAACGTCAACCCATGCACCAAGAGGTTGCCAGTTCGATTCCCGGTCAGGGCACGTGCCCAGGTTGTGGGCCAAATCCCCTGTGTGGGGCATGCAGGAGGCAGCCAATTGATGTCCTCTCTCATCGATGTTTCTATCTCTCCCTCTCCCTAAAAATCAATAAAGAAAAATAAATTCAGGCCCTGGTCAATTTGGCTCAGAGGTTCAGCCCATGGACCAATGAGTCGCAGGTTCGATTCTGGTCAAGGGCACGTACCTTGGTTGCAGTTTGTCCCCAGCCCTGGTCAGGGTCATGCGGGAGGCAGCCAGTTGATGCGTCTCTCTCACATCGATGTTTCTCTCTCTCTCTCTCCATCCTTCCCACTCTATCTGAAGATAAATAGAAAAATATCCTTGAGTGAGGATTAAAAAAATTTTTTTTAATTCAGTTTATAGCATCCCCGAATCCCTTCTCACATCCCCTCCCAATCACTATCCTTCTACCCCAAAGGTAACCCCTATTCTAACACATTGCAATAAGGTAAGAAAAGAAAGAGTACAAGAATAGAGAAGAAGCCCTGGCCAGTTTGGCTCAGCGGTTAGAGCGTCGGCCTGTGGTCTGGAGAGACCCGGGTTCAGTTCCTGCTAAGGGCGTGTACCTCGGTTGCAGTTTGTCCCCGGCCCTGGTTGGGTTGTGTGGGTGGCAACCACTCAATGTATCCCTTTCACGTCGATGTTTCCCTCTCTCTTCCTCCCACTCTATCTGAACAAAATATCGAAAAATGTCCTTGGGTGAGGATAAAAAAAAAAAAAAAAAAGAATAGAGAAGAAGACTATCATTATTCTGAGATGGCGTAACTAGGCACATAGAGAATCATAAAGACCCAATAGAACACATTATTAAAAACCAGTAAGTTTGGCCCTGGCCAGTTTGGCTCAGCGGTTAGAGCGTCAGCCTGCGGTCCGGAGAGACCCGGGTTCAGTTCCCGCTAAGGGCACGTACTTCGGTTGCAGTTTGTCCCCGGCCCTGGTTGGTCGTGCGGGTGGCAGCCACTCGATGTGTCCCTTCACGTCGATGTTTCTCTCTCTCTCTCCCTTCCTCTCTCTCCCTCCCACTCTATCTGTACAAAAAATGGAAAAATATCCTCGGGTGAGGATTAAACAAAAAAAAAAAAACCAGTAAGTTTGTAAAAATGCCATTTATTTATTAATTATTTGTTGTGAGTAGTAATAGATGATTGGTAAAAATTTTGTTCTTATGAAATACGTTGCATTTAAAAATAGCAAGAAAAGGAAATACTGTGGACTTGAAATTTAGTTTTGGGTTTGAGTCTCAACTGCCAAAGAGTTGATTGTGCAATTTGTTCCTGTAATTTAAGAAGTTATTTTCTCATCTGTAACAAAAATAAATAAAACACACTTGTAGGAATGACCCTCAAAAAAAAAAAGTTATTTTCTAAGTCAAAGAATGATTTGCCATTCTATATAATTATATATTTATTTTTTATTCTTCTGTCCTATAAAGACAAGGGTTTTGTTTTGTTTATTGATATTCTCAAACTTTGAATGTGTATTTGGCCTGTAGAAGATGCTTAAATACTTGGCAAAGAAATGAATAAATGTGGATGAATATTGTTGGGTGAATTAAAAAAATAAAATAAAATAAATATAATCAGCCCTGGCTCAGCAGTTAGAGCGTCGGCCTGCGGTACTGAGAGACCCGGGTTTGGTTCCTGCTAAGGGCATGTACCTCGGTTGCAGTTGTCCTCGGCCCTGGTTGGTCGTGCGGGTGGCAGCCACTAGATGTGTCCCTTTCACGTCGATGTTTCTCTCTCTCTCTCTCTCCCTCCCACTCTATCTGAACAAAAAAATGGAAAAAAGTCCTCAGGTGAGGATAAAAAAAAATCAGTGAGTCTGCCTGCCCCTAGTAGCTCTGTGGATTGAGCGTTGTCCCGTGCACCAGGAGGTCACCAGTCCCAGGGCACGTGTCTGGATTGGGAGCTTGATCCCCAGTAGGGGGCGTGCAGGAGGCAGCCAATTCATGTTTCTCTCTCACATCCATGTTTCTATCATTTTCTCTTCTTCTCTCTCTAAAAAATCAATAAAAACATTTTTTAAAAAGAGAGAAAGAAATGTTACTGTAGTGCCCCTCCCCCCCCCCCATTCGCAGTTTCACTTTTCATGGTCAATCTTAGGCCAAAAGTATTTCATGGAAAATTCCAGAAGTAAACAATCCATTCGTTTTAAATTGGGCACCATTCCGAGTAGCATGATGAAATCTCATACAGTCCAGCTCCGTCCTGCCCCGGCATGAATTATCCCTTTGTCCAGCATCTCCACGCGCTAGTCACTTAGTAGCAACTCAGTTATCAGATTGCCTGTGGTGGTATCTCAGTGCTTGTGTTCAATTAACCCTTATTTTACTGTATAATGGCCCAAAGCCAGTCACGTTACTTCTATTATAGTAGTATATTGTTATATATGTTCTATTATTAGTGTTCATCTCTTACTGTGCCTAATTTATAAATTAAACTTTATGATAGGTATGTATAAGAAAAAACATAGTATATATAGGGTTTAGTGTCCTATCTATCTGTCTATCTATCTATCTATCTCTGGGCTTCGGGGTTCAGGCATCCACTGGATACTCGTATCCCCCTCGGATAAGGGGGACTATTGTACTTAGGTATAAGGGTCGGTAACTAGGTAACCAAAAGGTATAAAGAGAACCCTGTGGTATCTTGGTGAGATCCATTCTAGGAAGCAGCTATCGTCCCTGGGGCAAGAAAAAGAAAAGGAGAAAGTTCAGAATTATGGAAACTAAACGCTTGGATGAGGTTTCCACTGGAGATGGAACTCAGACAGTAAGGGGGCACTGCCCAGCCGGTGCAGGTGTGTCAGCTCAGACCACCCGGCGCTGGCACCTTCTCAGGAAGCGTGCTGGTGAAGTGGTGCTGGCATTTCTGAGGGTGTGCAAGATTTAGAAAAACTGGAAACTAGACTCACCAGCAGTTACAAGAAGGAACCGCCTCAGCCAGGGTGAAAAAGCTGTGCTGGGTGATGCTGATGGAAACAAGAAATTGACTGGAAATAAGCAGAGAGCAAACAGGAAGGAGCGGGTTCCTTTGATTTCCTCCCGTCGTCTGGGCTCCCTGGTGCCCCCTACCGGCAGAGTGTAGCACAGCCGGTGGGCGGAGGGGAAGTGTGGTTTTCAGTCCCAATCTGATTCACAAAACCAGAAGAGGGGAATGGATTTGAAACCAGGAGGTAATAGCTTAATAACTGAGATACCTAACAGTAGAGCATGCCGGGGCGAGTAATCTGATTCCGCACCCATAAGGGTCAAATATATTTTTATTTATTTTTTAATCTTCTCCAGAGGATATTTTTGTATTTATCTCCAGATAGAGTGGAAGGGAGAGAGAAGGAGAGAAAGGGAGAGAGCAAGAAACATGATGTGAGAGAGACACATCGACTGGTTGTCTCCTGCAGGACCCTGACCCAGGCAGGACCCTGACCCAGGCGGGACTAACTGCAACCGAGGTACGTGCCCTTAGCGTGAACTGAACCCCGAACTCCCTGGTCCGCAGGCCGACACTCTAACCGCTGAGCCAAACCAGTCAGGGCTTAATTTTTTTTATATCCTCACTGGAGGACATTTTTCCACTTATATTTTAGAGAGATTAGGAGGGAGGGAGAGAGAGAAACATCAATGGGAGACAGACACACTGACTGGTTGCCTCCCACAGGACCCGATCAGGGCTGGGGACGAACCACAGCCGACCTACATGCCCTTGGCAGGAATCAAACCAGCAGGTCATTGGTCTGTGGGCTGATGTTCTAACCGCTGAGCCAAACCGGCCAGGGCCCAAATAACATCTTTAATGCAAATATAATAAAAATCCCCATTAGATTATTTTTTAAAGGATTTAATCCAATTATTCTAAGGGTCTTGTGAAGAAATAAGTATAAATAAGAGACGCAAAATTTTTTCTATGGACAAGATAGGTCTAAAGCCAATATATTAAAATATAAGGTAACACCAATTAGTGTAGTCCTGAAAGATTAAAAAGATGATAAACATTAAAACTTCATAGATGTCCAGCCAGTGTGGCTCAGTGGAATGAGCACTGGCCTATGGACTGAGAGGTCCTGGGGTCGATTCCTGGTCAAAGCACATGCCTGGGTTGTGGGCTCAATCCCCAGTAG